CATAGGAAGAGATAATATCTTTTCTGTTAGGTTTGTGTATTTCGTAATGTAAAATTTGGAACTGGAATATTATTTTGAAATCTTCTGTTTAATTTTAATTTGGTGCAAAATACGGCAGGCCAGTGCAGTACTGATCGCAGGAAGCTAGAGAAAGATTTGAGGAAAAATTCCTGGTTTGTTACACAGAAAAGGAATCTCTTGCTAGAAATAATTCTGTGACATTTCCATCTATGATAAATAAGAATTTAGACGTGTGTCAGGTGTGATCTTGGCATTGTATGGTAATGTTGTTACCTCTGATACTAATTTCTGGAGTTGACGTTTCCTTGGAGGATGACTAACATTGACTTATCAAATACTGCCATTCTTGTTATGGTAACTCCATGTTGCTTTGAACACAAAGAAAAGTATGGCCAAGTATTTTTTTTTTTTTCCCTAACAAACACAGAAGTATTAATTAATGTTTTAGGAAATTAAAATTATAAGCAGCTGGAAAAAAAAGAAAGAATTCTGATAAATTGCAGTCTCTTACTAGAACTGCTACATTACTAGTGAATGCTGGGAATATCAGTTTCTTAGAAGGCTGCAATAGTAATTGCTGCTTAACAGTTTCATTAGTCCTTTTTTGAAGCAGTCATACAACAGTTATTTCTGGTAAATTACTGTCTCTTATATGTGCAAATTCAATTGTTTTTCAAGGTGCTTTATAAATTTGTCCGTTGCTCTAGTGTCTCCGCTCAAATACAGGGCAGCACATATTTTAACTTATTCTTTGCAGACATGGTGCATTACGAGCTTATATATTTATTGTACCTATTTTAAATTATACTGCATTACCATAGATACAGCAAAATATAATTGCTTACTTTGGATAATATTACTAAATCTTAAGGCTAAGTTTGTAAAAACGTTAACCAGATGTGGTATAGTGTATAGTAGATTTTTTGATCTAGTGTGTCAGATTGGTTTTAACAAAGCCCAGCAAAGTAGACTGAATAACTTCTTTCAAGAAAATGTCAAATAATATATTTATCTTTTTTTATTAAGCTGTAGGCTCTATTTTTATATTCCTGATAGATAATAGATGGAAGAAGGAAATGCAGCAAAGCAGCTGAGTAATGAGACAATTCCTAAACTGTTAGGAAATAAAATCAAATTAATTCTATGTTGATAAGTTGTAGTAAATAGTGAAAAAATATGAATGACGATAAACTTCAATTTCACCTTAAGTGCAAAACAAAATGCAGGAAAATGCTGGTTACAGATCTGTCTGTCTATATGGGTTTTCATCCTAGGGCATGTGGAAAGTACAGTATGGTTAAAGACACTTTTATTTTTTCATTGAGGATTTGGCTATATACTTTTCTGCTGTTGAGGAGACATGAGAGAGGGAGCAGCAAGAGAGGAAGGGAAGCAGATGCGAGACCAAAAATGCCTTCTAAAACTGCACATTTACTGAAATCCTGATTTAAATTGTCTAAACTGTCTGGAATATCTTCGTTGAAAAGTAAGGAGAATGAATCCCACTTAAGGAACAAAATTCTAAACCCCTTTGATTTTGTAGTTACAAAACATGGAATTCTTTATGGGAGACAAGGTTAAACTTCCAAGTGTTTACTTGCTTGTAGGGGTTGCTGCCTGTAATTACTCCCTATCCTTTTAAGATCGATATTAATCGAAATACTTTTATAACTGCTAGAAAGTTAAATTTGTTCTAATAGGGCTGTGCCATAGCATTTCAGTGCAGCCCCTAATTTAAATTTGGCTTTTTGCATCCATCTTTAAGCCAGTATGAATGCTACATTTTTGGACCCATTTGGAATTTTTGTGCTAGCCATGGGATTTCTACCATCTCCTTTGGTGGACTTAGACAGTCTAGAATATTTTATCCTCAGGATGCTTCCTATTCGGCTAACTTTTTGTTTCATCTATTAAGGCTATGGATAACCTTAAGCAATTCTCTTCTACCTTTAGTATTCTTACCTATTATCGTTTGTACATGCGCAGACTGATGTAACTTTACCATCAAAACATGCTTTCAGGATGACACGAGAAGTGATCGATTTCTTTGCGTAGAACAATTTATTTAGTGCCGTGCATGTGCTGTAAGTTTCTGCACACATTTAGTATTCATTATTCTTGATTAACAAAAGGTATTTAATTTTTAATAATTACTTCCATGTGGAAAATAGAACAATTTAACAGGTGTTTGTCAATGGATAAATGGCAGTTCTACATTTTATTTGTATATGTTTATATTAAAAAAAATACCAGTGCTACTGTTCACATCCTAAACCACAGTGGCCCCTGGAATCAAAAGCAAAAACATGAAGTATACCTGTAATACAAGTATTTTTCTATATGTAATAAATAATTGTCTTTTAGTATTAAAAAATATTTGGTCAATGAGTTCTTTTTTTTTGTATGGTCAGATATAACTTTAGGTGTTCTTATACACTACTGGACATTGGGCTTGAGCATTGCTGACACTGGGGTGCAAATCAAAAAGGCTGGTTTAAGCCCGTTTGTTTTAAAAATCAGTGACAGTTTGAAGTATCAACTCGCGTACTTCTAAAGAAACTTTGGTAGGGAATCATATTCCTTTTTCTAAATGAGGGGCTTCCAACTTGTGGCACACAAAGGAGCGCTCAAGCTCCTGAGCCTTTCATTTAGACACGCGCCTTGCTCGCAGCTACTACTGCCAATAGAGGAACGCAACCACCTTACATTTGGAAAGCCCTTTTTTAGGCTACCAGTTTATGTAGTCATTCTCCATGGGCAATTTTGAAGGCATTTCAGAGCGTGTGGAGGTTCAGGTAACTTGACTGAAGCTTTATTATTATTATTATTATTATTATTATTATTAACCCCTCCTGTGTTTACAATTTTGTTAAAGAAGCAATTCCCCAACAGCTGACCATAGATTGATCATAATCTGCAGACCCATGATTATGCATAAGAGGGAAACTTTGAAAGCCAGTTTAAGAGAAGTTTAAGTGGTAGTTTTTTCTATTATAAAATGACTTCAGAATTAGTGAAGATCCATCCAACCTAAACCAGCCTTTGACACCAAAATACCTGGGTAGCTTTGTACGCCTTGACCTTGCTTCTGACAAAAGGGAGGGAGCAGGCATCTCTTCAGTATCAGCACGTGTGTATGTGTCTGCACAAAAAGAGAACAAGCACCAGCTGGCATGCAGTGTTAATTAGGAAGGCCAAAAGCAATGGACTTGTATATACAACCTAAAAAAGCCCAAACCAACCAACCCACCACCAAAATAATAAAAAAAAACACTTTAAAAAAAATAAGAAAAAAACCCAAAAACCAAACAGCTAAAACCCCCCTTGATTGGAGTAGAGAGCAGGGAACCAGAAATGAAGCAGATGTGCAGCACTTCAGTGGAGACAGCTGTAACCTCACATAGGTTTTGCTAGGATTTTCCAGCTTTAGGAACTGTATTCTCTAGGGAATACAGGCTCACTGAACGCTTAGCATTTTCCCCTACTTTGTTTCCTTACCATGCTGAATGATCTTTCTGTGCTAGATGGACCTTCTTCAGAGTTGGATTTCCTGGATTTTTTTTTTTCTGGTCTTGTGTTGACTTGGTCTTTAATTTAGTTTGTCTACATGTAAAAACTGAAAATCACTATTTAATCACTTAAGGGGAGTGTTGTAAAACAATGTGAAATAATCTTTTCACTACTCTTAGTGTTTTCATCCAGATGTAAAAATGGCGGAGTAAGTTTGCTCTGCAGATACAGATGATGTTCTGCTGAGGTTCTCCACTGAATCAGGCAAAATAAATTACTGCGCGTGTCCAAGGTAGCTGTTGTTGAATTACCAAGAATTACCTTTAAAGAACAATTCTGAAACTTCCACTTACTCTGTTTCTTGAATGAAGATAAAGTGGGGATGAGACACAATTAAACTGCTGAGAGGATTTGAAAAATGTAAGATTTAAGTAAGTCCTTGTACATTTTTTGCATGAACAAAGTAACAAGCGCCAAATGTCCGAGTGCACTAATTAGGGTTGTGTGCACAAATTAAGGTCACCAGGAAGGAAGCTGCTTTTTTTCAGTGTAATAACCAGGATACATTTTAGATGTCAGGAGTGGTTACAGTCTGATTTGTAGTAGCTGCTATAGTTAGAATAAGAATTCCTACTGGACCACTGAAATGTTTTACAATTACGCAAACCAGACACCCTCAAACAAAAGTCAGGCAATTGGGCCGGTGAGACACTAAAGCTGCTTATTTATGAACTGGTAGCTTGTGCGACATCCGAGTACACGGGCAAAGATTTTTATTTTGTGTGGTTGTTTATAAAACACTGGGAGAATTTGTCATGAAAGATGTTGGCAAAGTGCGATACGGGATGTACAGGAGGGTTTGGGTAAGCCTGAAGCTTAAATCTGAGTATGAAATGTGATGGAATATTTTGCTAAATTCTGGCTTAAGTAGATTTCAGTAGTTTGTCTCTAGCTTTTTAGATAATATTTCCAAATTTTGTACAGAAGGAGAAACCTGGCTAGTTTAACTTACAGTTGGGTCTGGTAGTATGGCACAAAATATCCCAGAACTTCTGCTCATCCAAAATAAGTCTCTGTACATCTAAACTGTGGAAAGACAGAAGCCTTTATTCATAATTCAGCTCATGCCATGATTGTATATTTGTGTTTTGTGTGTGTGTATATGTATAAAATTGTTTGAGATCGTAACTAGGGTTCTGAGAGTAACACAACATTGAAAAGAATAGGAGAGCCTACATGTTGCAGGTGTAATGGCTTAGGATATCAACTTTTTCCTAATTAAATATAGAATCCCGGAGAGTGAAATCATGTGAGTCTGCCTTGAGATAGGTTAGGACCTGATCTCCTCCACATCTGTGCTTTTCAAGTATGGCTGGTAGAACTGAACGATTCTCGACAGGTAAATGATAACGTTGTTTTATTTGGTTTTGTCTTTTTTTTTTTTTTTTTTTTTTTTTTTTTTTTTTGCAATTGGGCCGGTGAGACACTAAAGCTGCTTATTTATGAACTGGTAGCTTGTGCGACATCCGAGTACACGGGCAAAGATTTTTATTTTGTGTGGTTGTTTATAAAACACTGGGAGAATTTGTCATGAAAGATGTTGGCAAAGTGCGATACGGGATGTACAGGAGGGTTTGGGTAAGCCTGAAGCTTAAATCTGAGTATGAAATGTGATGGAATATTTTGCTAAATTCTGGCTTAAGTAGATTTCAGTAGTTTGTCTCTAGCTTTTTAGATAATATTTCCAAATTTTGTACAGAAGGAGAAACCTGGCTAGTTTAACTTACAGTTGGGTCTGGTAGTATGGCACAAAATATCCCAGAACTTCTGCTCATCCAAAATAAGTCTCTGTACATCTAAACTGTGGAAAGACAGAAGCCTTTATTCATAATTCAGCTCATGCCATGATTGTATATTTGTGTGTTGTTTGTGTGTGTGTATATGTATAAAATTGTTTGAGATCGTAACTAGGGTTCTGAGAGTAACACAACATTGAAAAGAATAGGAGAGCCTACATGTTGCAGGTGTAATGGCTTAGGATATCAACTTTTTCCTAATTAAATATAGAATCCCGGAGAGTGAAATCATGTGAGTCTGCCTTGAGATAGGTTAGGACCTGATCTCCTCCACATCTGTGCTTTTCAAGTATGGCTGGTAGAACTGAACGATTCTCGACAGGTAAATGATAACGTTGTTTTATTTCTTTTTGTCTTTTTTTTTTTTTTTTTTTTTTTTTTTTTTAATTGTAGGAGTTCCATCTGGAATATGACAAATTAGAAGAAAGGCCTCATCTGCCATCAACCTTCAACTACAACCCTGCTCAGCAAGCCTTCTAAAGACTTCCCTTTTCTTGGGGTATGGCTGTCTCAGCACAATACTCAACATAACTGCAGAACTGATGTGGCTCAGGCATCCTGGTTTTAATTCCTTGAGGATCTGGCAATTGGCTCATGCGAAGGGTCACCATTTGAGGTCCTGCCTTACTAATTATGTGCTGCCCAACAACTAAATTTGTAATTGTTTTTCTTTAGTTTGAGCAGGGTCTGAATTTTTGTTTTTGTTTTATTTTTTGCCAGCAGACAAGCTTGGGTCTGTAAAGACAAGCGAGTACACTGACAAAAGTTTACCACTTAGTTTTCCAAAATGTAAAAACAAAAAAAAAGAAAAAAGACAAAAAATTAGACAACAAAATTTGCATTGTTCATTGTAGCACTATTGGTAATAAAAAATGTTTGTGCATTTTTATGTGAAGATCCTTCTCGTATTTCATTTGGAAAGATGAGCAAGGTTTGCTTCCTTCATTTTACTTCCCCTTCTGTTTTTGAAAGGCAGTTTTCGCCAAGCTTAATGCAAGAATATCTGACTGTTTAGAAGAAAGATATTGCCACAGTCTCTGGTTAGTTTCCAGAGTTGTGTATTACTGAGCTTCATCTTTCCAGAATGAGCAAAACACTGTCCAGTCTTTGTTACGATTTTGTAATAAATGTGTACATTTTTTTTAAATTTTTGGACATCACATGAATAAAGGTATGTATGTACGAATGTGTATATATTATATATATGACATCTATTTTGGAAAATGTTTGCCCTGCTGTACCTCATTTTTAGGAGGTGTGCATGGATGCAATATATGAAAACGGGACATTCTGGAACTGCTGGTCAGGGGACTACTTTGTCGCCCTGTGCACTAAAGGGCCAGATTTTCAGCAGCCAAGGACATCCATACCCAAGTGAATGTGATGGGACTTAAAGAAGTGAACTGAGACAATTCACTCTGGCTGTTTGAACAGCAGCGTTTCATAGGAAGAGAAAAAAAAAAAAAAAGATCAATCTTGTATTTTCTGACCACATAAAGGCTTCTTCTCTTTGTAATAAAGTAGAAAAGCTCTCCTCACTGCAGTGTTGACTTTGATTTGAGATTGTGAAATTATTTCTTCAGCAATGAAAAATGGAAAAAAAGAAGTTGAAGTATTAAAACTATCAAGCTGTACAGTGGTTAAGACACTTGAAGAGTCTTTTTGCTGCTGACAAGTAAATTTATGAGAGAGTTTTACATTCTTTTCCACAGTAAAGTTTCCACTGCTAAAAGGTTTGGTTAACCTTGGTTTCAGATCCCCTCTCTATTAGTCTAACGAGTATTTGCAAACAGCAAATCATTTTTAGAAAGGCGGGTGGGTAACGCTGCAAATGATAGGAAGATGCTTCAAGAATTCGTCGCGGAAGGAACACTTGGAAGAAGCGCGGTTCAGAACTGATCATAGCTTAGTTCCAGGTTGGTATTTTCCCACTTGAAACAGAAATAAATTTCATTTGGTGATCACTACTACTTGAACTTCCAGGTGCAAACAAGCATGAATATACACTGGTTCCGAAATGTGTAACTGTTCTCTGGAGCAGAGGAAGAAAAACCTGAACCATGTGGATAGTTTCCTTTTTCTTGAGGTGACTGCCGCTTCTCAGCCAGTCGCCTCTGGAGATGCCAAACCATTTCAAAATGCCTGAAATTACCAAAGCAAGAAAAGATGGCAAAACACACGTCAGTGAATCGTGGGGTTTTATTTTTAGGTTCTGACCTGTTCTTCTGTGTAGTGCAAAACCAGCGTGTTGTCATGTACTGAATTATGCTTGGAAATCGGACCATTAATGGCATTGCTATGGTTCTGTAGCAGGTGTAGACCAATTTTAAATTTCTGCACTTCTTTATATCTACTCTAAGATGATAGACATAAAAATATAAGCCTATTGATTATAATTTTTTTTTCTTATTAAAACAAACTGCTTTCTCAGCTTGAAAGAAGAGGATGGTTGCAATCCAGATGGTGGCTAACGCAGCTGAAAAAGATGGTGGCTTTTTCTTTTTCTCAAATCACAGCAGACACAAACATATACTTGACTATTAAAACAAATTTATAAATTTTAAAAAGGATAATTTTCCAAAAGCATCTCGCTCACTCCGTCATTAGTGTCACATTTTTTACTGTCAGAGGTCCGCTGTGATCTTTGCTTTTCTTTTTTTAAGGATTCATGAAAGGGTGTTTACATCTTCAAATCGATTGTGATTATTTCTTATTCTATGGGCTTGGGGTTTTTTTAAAATGTCATTTTTCATCTGCATAGCCAATGTTACGGAAATGAACAACAGATATGGTAAAGGGAGCGAGATAAACTATGTTAAAAATGGTATCTTATACTAATGTGCCGTAGGTTTTTAGTAAAAACATTTAAGCTGAAATTGGGAATCGTAAGTTCTCCAAGAAGTTATTTTGACGATACAATTGTATTCCACTGCACAATACTTAAAAAATGCAAGATGCTTGGTTTTTAGCAAACTTCTCGCCGTGAGCAGGAACTGGTGCTTTGCTCCTTCCAAGGGGAAGAACAGCCTGGCTCTTCCTCTGTCGACTAAATAAGCACATATGGAGATGTTAAAATCTGTGAATTAATTTCACGTTACGCTCTGGGTTGAAGCCGGAGAAACAGGTTTAAACAGAATACAAGGTGTAAAACTGGAAACACTTCTTAGCTGACAGCACATTAATTAAAAAAATTGGGGGAAAAAACCCCCCATACCGCCATTTTTTTTCAGAAAGGAGGAAAACCTCAGCCCTCATTTACACATCACATGCATGGCAAATTGGCAGCTGAATTGACCTGGAGATATTTAACACTGATGATTAAGGTCTGAGGCTTATTTAAAATGTTTTTACATTCTGCTAACACTATGAATGAGGGGAGAGAATGGAATGCTATTTTTAAAATGCATTTATTTGAGGTGAGTTTTTTTTCCCCCTGTAATTACAGTGTTGTACAACAACGTGCAAGGTAAGTTCTGAGTAGTAAACCCCGGTGTTCTTGGAAACAAGTAGAAGTATTCCTTATTTCTGGCCTGTTTAATACACTCGTGTACTCATCCCTCTGTGTTGCATGTTGTTTATGAATCTTTATCGAGTAGGTAGCTCCAGTTTCACTGGAAATCCGCTACCCTGAATTCCCAGGGTTAAAATGGGTTTTACCTACTTGGTTATCCCTAGTAGCACGGAAAACACTTGCAGTTGTTCTTTTAACAGTTATTGCTCAAACCACCCAGCTTGTGGGAAGATTGAGGGCAGCAGGGAGGCCCAGAGGAGGGAGGTAAGGGTGCTCCACCTGGGTGTTTAAAAATGGAACAAAAACCCCAAAAAAACCACCCAGGGCTCCATCTCCTCTGCCTTAGTACCTGGTGGCACAAATACTTCGGCACGTGAGAACCTTCGTGGGCTTGATTAACCTAACTGAAGACCAGAGTAACCCAGGGAAGCCTGCGGATACTCACAAGGGTGAAAGTATTTGGTACGCGGCCGTGGGCTCCATTAAAGCATCGGCTGTGCGTGGGGGCCGCGCTGACGGCCGACCGCGCCGCTCTTCTGCAGAGGTGATGTCCATAGGGTACAATGGTGAGCAATCGCACGGCTTCGCTGCGTGCCACCTCTGAAACCCTCCCTAGCCCTAAGCCAGTATTTTTTGTACTTTTCTGTTTCTATGTTAAGTTTCCATGAAAATAAAAAAAAAAACAACAATTGAGAATCTACCCAAAATAAGAACTTGTGTGTTACAGTCGGATGCGAAATTGTTTGCAGAGTGCTGAGGGACTCTGTTTCTGTTGACCATAAAGAGAGCAGATATGGTCTTTGGCAGGACCTGAGCAGTGCTGGAAGGCAGAGGGGTCCATGGGGCAGTCAGCTCGATCCCGCGTGACTCGTGGGTGGCCGTGGCTATCGAAGGGTGTTCAGTTTCTAAACAACATTGTTTTAAAGGTATTCATCACCTAAAAGGAACGCATTTTAATTTTTTCTTTTTTTTTTAATTGCTCCACCATAGCTTTGCATTGAAAGCACTTCCATGGCTGGATGTTGACTGAAACCAAAAAAAAAATTTGACTGCTGTCACGCTCAAGAAGAGCTTCTAAATGTGCAGTTGTCATCCTAAGCACGAGGTAGCTAGATAGTGCTTTTGATTTCAGACCCTAAATATAACAATTGCTTCTATTAAAGCAGAATCTCTAAGTGTGCTTAGCTTTCAAATACCATACCCTTTCCTCGTGTTCCTCCAAATTTGCTGCTGCCTAAGGATTACGCCAGTAGAAGTTGAGTTCTGGTAAAGAATGCGAATGGGGCTAAGCAGTTAGTCTGGATTGACAGCTGCTGTTTAAAATGGTGTAGCTGTTTTTGTTTCTCTGATAAGCGTGCGTGCTCTCATTTCCATAAATCGGAAAGCTTTTACTACATTTAAAAAACCAGAGGAAATGCAGCTGAGTGACTTATTTTGAGATTGTGGTTTGAATTACTTCAGTAGCTTTACCCCTTAAAACCACTTTACTATTAGAGTTAAACTTTATTTTTTTGAGAGTAACACTAAAGCACATCGAACAGTAGTTTTTAATATTACTGATTCAACCCGCTTCAGAATTAGCAGTGCTAACCAAGCTTGTATCTTATTTTCCGGTTTATAATTTGCGTTTCGTATTCCCTTTTTGGTATTAACATGCCAATATTGGACGTGGCGATATGTCA